ATACTGCATACATACAATTGACGACTTTGCTTGTATTGCGCTGTGCATTCGTCAAATAGTGCTGGGTTAATTTCCATAAATAACTTCAACGCATTATATACCAAGCCATGGATGGTCCTGTATTTTAATCGTCGAAGGGAAATCCATTAACTTGACTTAATCAGTAAGTCGTGTAACATTAAAATCTCTTATGGTAAAGGTGTCAAATATATTTGTGTGATTACCGGTTCCAGTGGGTCTTGGAATTTTGATATAAAGTTGGAAACATTACTGGTAAAATAACGTTTACGTTGTCACCTATCAAATTAACAATGTACTCATTATTCCAATAATACAAAGCCCTCTCTGCAACCTTTTCGGAAATCGAATGAAATTTATTTGTTAATAATCTCGCATTTTGTAAGAACATAAAAATCTGAAACATTCGTACCTGAAAGTGTGGACTCGACACACATTTAGCAATTTGTTGGAATAAAGGTACCTGAATTTTCACAAATTCTTGCGGTTCTATGACATCTAATATTTCCTCAATCTCATTCAGGAACATTACTTCCTTTTGGCTATTCACTTTAGGCCAATATCTTAATAAACCACAGATGACCTAGAATGTAAATTTGATGATAAGACGGTCGTTCTCGAGCTCAAGAAAACCATTGTTCCCTTACCTCTTCTGTTAACGTAGGATCCTTTTCCAAAAATTGTACCACACAATAGGCAAGTTGCGGGTGATACAATGTCAATGATTTTACTTTGTGCAGAGGTATCAATACTTTTGTGAGGAATGTCTTGTGCTCTTCTTTCAACGGCAATGCAAACCCATTGATGATACTAGACGTGGCGGCGGAATTGTCAAATGGATTATTTTTCAATGAAATTTTAATAAATGTGAAGTTTGCATAACTAAGATTTCAACTAGAATACCTTCCAAGAATTTCCAGCAATTCTGCAATACCATTATGGCGTTCGGTTTCATATATGAATTGGAAGAATACATTATTAATTGATCTTCGGATGAATGCGCGAAGGTTAAGGAATTTCCCGTAAATTCGATGCAAGGTGGTCTTCAAGAAGTCACGTTCCCTAGGATCCTCACTGTCAAATAATTCCAACAACTAAGAAAATGTGAAGACGTAAATCCATTATTTTCAATTT